CCTTTTATAAAGATAGCGAGGATTACCATTTCCAATGGTGTTGGGAGTTTCTAGCTTGCTGTTTATGGCTAAAGGGTGCCATTTGTGCGTTTGGATTAACGTCAACAGTGGCTACCATATGCTCGTCTGTAATAGTTCAACTGTCATCGATATATTGTTGCACTTTGTTAGGAGTGCATTTCCTTAGAAGGATTAGCCCAACCAACCCGGTAATTAATAGGACAACAGCTGTGAACAATCGATCATGTCTTGCGATAGTAGTACACATGTTAGTGGTTGCAGTGCAGTGTAACTTTTGATATTGTGCGATGGTCAAAATGGAAAAAACACTATCGAAAGCCACAGATGTTAAAATTGGACTTGGTATGTAACAAGTATACCATGTAATAACTACATATTAATATAGCAATAATACAGTCATTGGACACTGTTTTCTATAGAGTATGTCGCACAATTGTTTCTTAGGACAAAGTTGAACTAATGTTGCTCCTTTGGTAGTTCTTTTACAATTACATGTGCGGGAGAGAGACCTGCTGAATTTCGAATTATCTAAAATTGGGTGTGGACGATTAAAAATCTATAACTACTTTTGAAATACGGTTTGTTTAGTACGTTAACAACATATGATTACATAAACTTACAACGTCTGTAGCGTTTACTCGAAACTGTTTGTAATAAAAGCGATCATGTGTCATCTTAGTTCACTCTTTCATGCCTAGTTGTGTTGGTTGTCTTTTATCTGTTTGCTTGGTTTAAGGGTCCCGACTTCAGTGTATCCCTTTACATTATCTAGTATGCTACGATATTGACGCCTAGCAAAAACCTGCGTTGTCTAGCAATTGATGCGTGGGACAACTAATTGAATCGCATATCAGATATGTTTTAGATGCATACAATTTTTCACTTTTATTGCCGAACAGTTGAAACGAACCAAGAAAATGACATATAATTCTCTCGCTATTGTTATGTGTTACGCTGACCAGGAAAACAAGAAAAGCAATTTGGCGATACATTATGATAGATTGTCGGAATTCTTGTCGTGTAATTGAATGGACGCTTTCAGAAAAAGATATTGTATAATTATATTATAGTTGGTATCGTATGAGAGAACTCGTTTAAAAGTTAGAGTACTTCAAAAAAACTCCACCCTGTAAGACTGTGGCTGTGTGTTACTTAAATGTAACACAGCCAATTGATCGATGTAGTCTTAGAGAATGCGCAGAATTTCATCAACATTAGCATTTAGTGTAGTCTTCAGAACAACAGCAGCCAACGTCGGGTACAAGATGATTGATTATCGGAATGAAGGCATGAATTCTTTAAAGGCATTGTAGAAGAGGTTTGTAATAGCATATGGCGGAGCTGGCGCATCCCCGAGTGGACGAACATTCGTTTCATGCAGCGAAAAACGACTTGACGAATGTAATATATTTTAAATTTCTAACAGATATCGAGGAGAGTACTTGATGGTCTTCGATTATACTGACAATGGTTCGTTGCGAGACTACTTACTGACGTCAGTCATCAAACTCGATTGCCTCTGCAACTATCAGCTGGGTTTTGGATATCATCAACGGATTTGGACATATTCATCGAGCGGGAATCTTGCATAAAGATTTAGTAAGTGTATCCACTCATTAATATTATATTTACCATAACTTGTATGCTGATTTTACTTTATTATTATAAGTCTTCGAACAATGTAGTAAACAGCTAAGATCATGATTTTGGCACATCTGAAACGATGCTACAAAGAAAGACTTGCTCAAACAACACTAGTTAATCTTGCTATTTGCTAGAGGATGGGAAAGGAGTGGAAAGAACATTCAGAAGGCTGTTGAGTTGTATCAAAAGCAGCTAGATAAGGGTGTACTTAGCACAAATTATTGCTATGATGAAGGCACAGGAGTAGAAAAAAAGCTGTTGGACAAGGAAATATCATGGCAAAAAAACCCTCTAGCTTTCACCATCAGGAGACAACAGCTTTAGCAGTCCACTGTAGCTGTGCCCAATGAAGGACCCACCAAATCATTATCAGTATCAGGAGACAAATTAAAAAAAGTTAGCTTACAATATATTAAATCAGAAAACAGTTGGGCATGTCCAAAAGTTGTTAATTTTATTAGAAACACTGACCAAGGATAATACAATTTTATGTCTTATGAACATATAAGCATCAATTACGAATATAAATTGTAATATGAGGGAAATTTGCCTTATCAGTTATACTATAACACAACCAATTGTTGATGACATATACATCAGAGAGGCTCTCCTACACTATTACTATGGATTGTATGGAATTTTAGCAACAAACATGACATCAATTGCCTCTGATAAGGAATGGATAGAAAAAAGTAATGTGTTTGATGTGCTCCAGTAAATCTGACAACAATGACAGCAATAGGCAAGACAACATCAATTGCCTCTGATGTGCTCCAGTAAATCTGACAATAATGATGGCAATAGGCAACACAACATCAATTGCCTCTGGTGTACTCCAGTAAATCCGACAACAATGATGGTAATAGGCACACAATATACATGACATAAATTGCCTCTGATAAGGAATGGATAGAAAAAAGTAATGTGTTTGATGTGCTCCAGTAAATCCGACAACAATGACGGTAATAGGCAATACAACATCAATTGCTTCTGATATGCTCTAGTACTAGTAAATCCGACAACAATGACGGCAATAGGCAATACAACATCAATTGCCTCTGATATGCTCTAGTAAATCCGACAACAATGACGGTAATAGGCAATACAACATACATTCGGATGACGAGTAACTATAACGCAATCACCGCTTTAGGACTCTGAATGACGATTTATTTATTTATTTATTTATTTATTTATTTATTTATTTATTTATTTATTTATTTATTTATTTATTTATTTATTTACAACGCAAGCTCAACCTGTTGTATCAAGGACCAGTCTCTGCTATCATTACAATTTAATATTTTGTATGTCCGCTTTTGGTAGATAACAGTGAGGCATAAATTTAATTAAATTACGATATGTTTCTTTTGTAAAACAATTCGATTTTTTTAGAAAGCAATCAACAAATTTATGTAATATCTATCTTATTTCATAATAGCCAGTTAGTAGGTATGTAGTTTCACTAGCTAACACCATCTTCAGCTTATCGTTCTTGAATGTAGACATTTTTCAAACACTTGTAATATTACTAGCTTATCATTTCGTACTTGTTGGACATTAATCGCTTCAGTGATTCGGATTGATTTTGTCCATCAATTCTCGGAATTGGCAAATACAATTGTTAATAAACGCGTTTACTTTGATGCATGACACTTTCCGACGTACCCTACTACTACTGACTACCACAACAGAGAGTAGAGGCATAACGGCAGTGTAGTTATATTTAAAGCCACTAACTGTATTGATATTGGTAATTTAAGCAGGACGAGAGGTTAGCCAAGCTTCGATCGAATGAGTTAAATGCCAAGACTAATTATTCAATTAACGTTCTCCCATGGTAGTTGGCTCGACACTATCCTGTGAGCATTTGGTGCGTAGTTTCAAATCATCGAGCATTACAGTTGCCTACAAGATAAAGATAAGAATAACAATTGATTTCGTTGATGTTTGATATCCGAATTACGACTTTCTTTTATATCGATATAAATCGACACAAATTCAAACTGTACAAAGTAAATTACTTTTGTCAATTGTCTACTAATAAAATTACGTTACGTTTTCTTTGATCTAAACTTTTCTTACGGATAATTAATATTAAACACACACAGCGAGTCCTATTGCTACATATAAGTGTTTTCAACTTCTACTCTATGCTATGAAAGTTGATCTTTTACTACTACTTTCATTTTACTGCATTGTATCATAACTGTACTAATGAATTTATTGATACATTGGGCGAAAAATTAAAAACAAACCTTTTTGAACGCTGCACAAATTTGTATCCGGGCATCTGTAAAGCCCCGATAGAGTGAAGCCTCGATAGAGTGAAGATTGCAAAAACAGCATTAGTATAAACTTTACTATATTGAAAGATTTCGATACAGTGAAGAAAAATGCCCATCCCGCCGACTTCAGCTTTGACTGTATTCAGAAGCTGTTAAGGAATTCAAAAATCCAGCAATTCGCAACTAGCGGTTCTCTGGTGGTTTACCGCTTGCCGTTTATAGTTTTGGTAATCCCCAAGACATGATTCGCGGTGTCTTATCAATCGTTGCCTTTTAGAGGTAGTCAGGAACAATAGGTAATCGGCTAAAGTATTTGTTTGTGTTGGTGAGTATATAAGGAAATTTAGTATTAATATTTCAATATTTACGAGTGGGGGTGGGGTTGTACAGTTTGTTGCACATTGTGCAGATTACCCACAACGAGAAAGGCAGGTTTCTTTTTCCTTTTTTTTTTTTTTTTTTCCATAACCCTATGCATATTGTGAAACCCGATATCTTCATTTGACTACACGCTATAAAAAAAGAGATATTGCTCACCATATCCGTATAATAAACGCATGTACTAAACGAAATAATAATAAGCTCATGACCGTTATCGTTATCGACAATGAACCAATTTACTTACAAGTCTTCCTTCTTCTCTTGGAAACTGTTATCATAAAAGTTTATTTTCATAGTAAATTTTTTTTTCGACAGTGTTATCACAAATCGGGAGATCGACACAAAATTGTCAGTGTTACTATTACATCCATCCATCTTACACTCACTCCAACTCCTCACTTTCACTCTCAAACACTCATGTAAATGATAAAAGATGAAATAGGCTGTAATCAACACATTCGATACAAGTATTCGAGTTGGTTTAATGAATTAGATATTTCAGAAAAACGAAACACTACCAAAGGACGATTGGAATTTATTACGTCAATTGCTATTTGTTCAGCATTGATAGTCACTTATATCGACAGCCGAATTATCACTTCCAACATATCCAACTGTTAATATTATCTAGACGTCTAATTTGTATAAACAGTCAGGCTTTTTAAAATGTATATTCAAAGGTCAGAGATTGTAATGCCCAAACCGCTCTTCATCATCGGTGAAGGAGCGAATGGGAAAGTGTACAAAGCAGAGTACGATGGAAAACCAGTAGCAATAAAAATAAGCAAGGTATAGGAAAAACGAATGCGATATATGCATGCGTATCAACGCATTCTGCAATCTTTCAAGGAATTGGGAATTTACGACAGATCTCCTCAATCTTATAATTTAGGAAGAACGCAAATCACTCGAAAACGAATTTCGTATTTACAGTCGTCTAAAACATGAAAACGTACTCAAATTCTACGGTGTCATGGAAGATGAAACGGGTTACTGCCTAGTTCTTGAATACGCATTCTATGGCACGTTGAAGTCCTACCTCCAAACAGAAACCGTTTCTTGGAAAACCAAAGCCCAAATAGCTCATGACATTTGTCGTGGAGTTCAATACTGTCATTTACAGACCATTGTACATTATGATATAAAAGCAGAAAACGTCCTCCTGACGGAAGACTTGAAACCAAAAATTGCTGATTTTGGCATAAGTCGAAGCAGAACGCAACATGCGTTAGATGGTAAAATTGGAGGCACTATGAGTTGGGTTGCGCCAGAGAGGGTATGTGTCGAGCCGAAGATGAGACGTTTTTTTGAAAATCAACCAAAATTATCGGATGTTTATTCATTGGGACTGTTATTGTGGTCAAGTATGTAGCCAATTGAACAAGAATATTGGAATAGAGATTTGATGCCAACACTATTACGTTACGTTTATCACGCAAGTGTCAATTACCTAAATGTTCTAACCGTTCTCATCAATTTTTGCCCCCTCGATTTCAATTCTCATACAAAACAGTTGCTCTCGACGGAAAAACGCCATACAGTGAACTCACATATGACCACCTAATAGCTGCAAAACGCAGTCGTGATTGCATCGACAGTCTCCATCGGGAACTTGCCGATGATACTCCAGCTCCTTACGCGCAAGCTTTTGTCGAACTCACACGTTATAATCCTTCGGAACGTCCCTCACTCGAGTGGGTAGCATACACATTACATCAATGCTACGACAAGCGCTCGACAAATCTCGACATTTCACACGTAGACGAAACCGACCCAATTCTTCCTACATCGACAGATCCGGTTCCACCCACGCGTCCGTTGCATCAACGATCAAGAAGCGAGATGGTGGGAGATGGAAGTAATCAGAGTACGTCTCAGACGCTAATGGAGCAACATTCGGCACGATCTTCTGTGGTTAATGAAGGGTCGAACGATTCGATACCACCGACTAGTAAAGTTTGGATAACTGTTGGACAATCATACTTTTTAGATAAATTCTATAGTTTATTCCTTGAGATTGAGAAACCGGGTTTCAGAAGCCAGGCGTTGGATTCGTGGTTTAATGACATGAAGATAGCACCCTATGCAATGTTTGAACTGGTGACCAGTGCCAACAATCATGTACACTGGGAATGTATGGTTGGGTGGTGCCACGAGCAAGGTATTGGAACAATAAAGGATCACGAAAAAGCCTTTGAGTGGTATAAAAAATCAGCCGAAAGTGGGGATCCGATAGGTCAAGCTCATTTGGGCATATGCTATCTGACCGATGTCGGCCCGGAACACAACGAAGAAGAGGGCAAACGGTGGTTAACAGCTGCCGCCCAGGAAAATTCGGCCCTTGGTCTATACAAACTTGGACACCACAATCATTATAGCAAACCTGATCAAAGGACGCCTGCCAGCGAGAAGCTAGCCTTTGAATCCTTCCAACGTGCTGCCGAAATGAAGCATATTCCATCACAAATGGAACTTGGGAACTGTTACATGTTTGGCGTCGGCACACCTCCTCAATCGAAAAAAGGTTTCCAATGTATGTTGAGCGCCGCCGAGGCTGGATATCCAGATGCTCAGTATTGGGTTGGGTGGTGGTGCGAGATTGGAAAAGGTACTCAGAAAAACGCGAGGAAAGCCAGAGAGTGGTATACTCGAGCGGCGAGGAATAGGTACCATTTTGCGACGAATGAGTTGAGGCGGTTAGAAAGGCGATCGCAGTCGTGGTACGTATTTTTGTCCATTTCTACATACAATGTTATTGGATATTTATAATTATTGAATATTTGCTAATTGGCGAATCTAACTTTATTCAGCGTGATCTCGTGAAATGGCTGATGAATACGCTGTATGTTTTTAGAGATTACCATCCTTAAAAGTTGTATTATAAATATTTTTTATTATATTTTAAGGGTTTGTTGACTCCATTAGTATAAAAAAGTGATTCAATAATGGCATAAAAAGTATAATGAGTGTAACATGAATATACATTGTCGTACAGAATGTCAAATAGGGCATTAAATAAATCATACTAATACTAACATATAACGGGCTGGTTTTAAATAACTTGTATTTGATCAAATCCTCAACTGGTCTCTCTCGTATTATAACCGCACAAGCATGTCTTCCGAGCGTTCTTGTTTGCGTGAAAAAGCAACGGGCTTTCTTAAAAACCGCGTCTTGTCTATTGTTGCATCGGCTTCGGCGTCTTACTATTCAGGGGGGGCGACGACCGAAAGTACGGAAGTAACAGAGTTGGAGTCTCATGAGTTTACTGCATCTCGCGAAGAGTTAAGGGCAATGGAGCAGCATTGCATATTAATCCCTACATATGCTTTTTTGGATCCAGGTATTTAACTGGAATTGTGGAGTGGGATTTTGCGGTTAAAGAGGTGAGGCCCATGTGCGAAACGTTTGAATAGCATCTATCGTAGATGGCAAACGAATAAAAGGAGAAAGATTGGAAATTTTTTTACAATGGTTTTAATTTATGATCTATCAATTCGTATTTAGAAAGTGATGGAATGTGGAGTGTACGAGTACGCGGATGGGCTTATTCTATGCGAAAGAGTCGAAAAAGAAGTTTGCTGCTAGGTATTTTATTCACATGCTTCGATTCAATCATCGTCATCATCATTTACTAACCAATTGACTCACATTCATTCACACTAGGGGTTGCCCGAAAGGTGACTGGCGTGACAAAAGACGATGTTCGCAACAGACATCTCGAAGAACGTGTCGGTATGTTTCTTGCCAAGAATCTCCGTCATCAACACTATACCGTTGAGGTCACCGGTGTCGCGCAACCCACGCACATGGAACTGGACTGCGAGTTGGCTTCTGACTACGAAGACGAACAAAACTTTAACAATGGTCCTCTCACTATTCTTGACTCTAAAAATGCAACGCTTGTGGATGAGGACGATTTATCTTCGAGTGGAAGTAGCGATGGAAATGGCGACTGTTCGGGAGAGAGCGAAAAAGTCGAAGTCGTTGAAGAACAGGACCTCGCAGAGCCCGTGATACACGTTACGAGTAATACCGGCCATTTTTCTGGGAAGATTTTGATTCCCACGGCTATGGTTGATAAATGGATTGCTGAAAGTAGTGATTGCAGGAAGAGTATGAGACTGTTGCAATTGCATGCTACTCCGGAAGGAAGGAGAAAACGTTGGTGTTGATAATTTTTTCGTAGTGTGTTGCGGTGAAGAGCAAATCATCGTGCGTTTCAAGCTTATTGATGTACCTGTTTTCTTTTCGGTCAACCATTTTAAGCTCACGTATCGCCTGGTCTGGCGAATTTGGTCGAGTTAGAGGGTCTTTCTATCATATCTGTAAGTACTACTCTTTGTTTCGCTGTCACGGGTTTGACTATTGTTAATAGTTCCGTTCACTCTCACAACAAAGGACATTGATGATACCATTAAAGAGACTAACATTGGTGGTGGTGCACGTGTAGTGCTCCATAATACCTTCTTACATGAGACGAAAGAGGTAAGACGATAAGGAATCAGTTAAAATTTCTTGTTATATTCGTATTATATTTGTGCTTATTCGAACCTTTTTATTATCAGGTTCCAGGCATGGCGAATGTCTATATGAATTGGGTAAGCTCACAGATTATTCGTCTTCTTTGAAACACTAAATCTCAATTCTTTACTCTATTCCTTTATCTCAAACACGTCAGTATAATCGTGGGGCATCATTTCACTACGTTTCCAACTCACCATGGCAGCTATTCCCTATGCTCACAGTATTCTTTCATACAAAGAAATTTCCGCCTGGATCAGCTCATCTGAAGTTTTATAATGATTTAGTGAAAGCACTACTAGATGAACCGCAAAGGAATAAGAGAGACTCCATACTGGAGATATTGAAAGTAAGTTAATCAGATTGAAAGAAGTGTTTGTACGTATTGAGATGTTGAATGAATACGTATCTAGCAACAAGGCGCTAATTTGTTATTGACTTTAGGACTTTCCCAAACGCAAATTTATACTAATTGGAGACAGTGGTGAAATTGATATGGACATGTGAGTCATTTATTATGTATTCATTTCATCAAGCATGCAATTTACATTCTCATTCTTCATCCATTCCATTCCATAAAATTCAACCAACTAGTTATTCTGCAATAGCCAAGGAACACCCAAACCAAATACATCACATATTTATCCGTGATGTCTCGACCGAACGTCTCAAGAACTTGCCCGCTCCTCCGGCCAAACGTTCTCGTTCCTTCCCCTTTATTCCCAGTCGCACTTCGTCCTCAAATTCTTTCAAAAGCAGCAAATCTATGCCAGCAATTGTAACCAATCCCAACGCCGTCAGTGAACTTACTGCTTTAGAGAGCCCCGTATCTCCGAGTTCGGAAGACATGAGCCCGTTGGATAGTCCAGAGTATCACCCTACAGATTGTCCAAAGACGCCATTAGAGGAATTTTACGAGAGAGTGGAAAAATGCAGAGCTATGACTCCTAACGGGGCATTTACGATGTTTAAGGATGCGACAGAGTTGGAACATCATGAAGCTCTCGAAGCTGCGTTTGAACTAGTGGAAAGATTGTGACTATTTGAGTGATATGAAGGCAGCGACAAAAGGAGTGAGATAAAGTAAAAGTAAAACGAAGTATTGTAATTCAGTGTGTGAAGTAGAACTAAAGTATTTATTTTATTTATAGTTGTACGTTACAAAAATTTATGTAGTTGGAAGTTCCAGATAATCATCTGTACTAAATCTACGAATTGCATAGAGCGAGGAGAAAAAAAGTAAATTATTATGTTTCATAGACACTTAGTCAACGAACAATACTGACATATTAAATATTGTAACAATTAAAAAGTACATATCGATTGAACAGACTAAAAAGAATACTACATGATGTGTTATGTTTTAATAGAGTGTTCTTCAATCATCTCCAGCTTCTTCATCCATATCCATTCCCAATCTCGTTTTAATAGCGTCCGATACTTCGTAAATAGTTTCAGTAGGGGTCATTACTGCATCGAGCTGTCAAATACGATCGCGCATCAGTCGTTTATTCACACACGCCATACCATACCAATAACGGATGCATTTTTCCATAAACTCACCAAACCTCCTTCAACAAGTTTTCCCTGCTCCCTTACAAATTCAGTGATATCCTCAATTCGGACAATTCCTTCTAAATAATTTTCCATCCACTCGTGTTTGATACCAACCTGTATGGCTCTCCTCTTTAACTTGCCTCCCTTCAAACTATGATCAGGATCCCACTGTATTCTAATTTTACTGTTCTTCAACTCTGCATTCCATTCTTCTTGGTTCGCAAATGCTCTACTCTGTCCATAACTACTCACGACTCCATGTAACAACATTTCATCCCAAACTGTTCTTTGCAATTCGATAGCCAAGATGTGTTCCTGGTTTTTGCTTGTGGCCCAGGCAGATCTATACATCATCCAAGCAAAGTTGGGTTTTATCCAAGTCATGCGAGTTAAGGAAAAGTCCGGACCTCCGAGTGTTTGATGTTGAACAGCATAAGAGGCTATGAAGCGGTTGTAGGCTTGGTATACGGTGATTGTGGTAGGGGTGAATTGGGCTAGAATGTAGCGGCCCGAGGCAGGCCAATTGGTAGATTGATCGGAGTAAAGCGAAGTCAGCATGTTTACGTTCTTTTTTAGTCACACTCGAAACTATATAGTGTTCCGGATCTCAGGGTCAATTTGTTTTGTCAACCCATGGTAATCCAGAAGCAGTCAGAAGGCTTTGAGGTGTCATCCCGAAACTACACAAGAGAAAAAGACGCGGCAAAATTAATAATTTTTGAGGGTATCTACTTTTGTATTATTGTTATCCTAAGCAGCAATCTGTTAATATTAATGAATGATTTTCGTCAGATAAAATTGCTCGTTCGTGCATAGCATTGACTGAAAATTGTCAAAATATACATACAATGCCATCGTTAACGATAGCCATTAGACATAGAAACATTGAAGCGAGTATTCTTACTTGACTTAGCTGTTAATGTAATTTTGTGAATTACATTTCGACAAGGCATTTTTGTATTTCGTTAAAATGACCAACGATCGGATTTTAAATTGAATGGTTCCAAATATGGAAAGTAAATTTAAATATAGCACAAAGACTAACAGCTCCTCTTTTTTCCAATATTTTGCATACACTATGATATTACGTCCGTGACCATGCTTTCCTTTACATGAAATATGATAAAGACCACCAAGACAATTTTTTACCGCTTTCTTATGTATACGATGAGTTCTGCATAGCAAACTCGACTTTTCTTTGTTTAAGCAATTGCTGTAGCATAATACCAACAGGTTCAGCCGACTCGAAAGGCTTACCATCCTTCAAAAGAATCTATTAAAGTAAAAACATTGTGAATAAAAAAAGTACTTATTAAAATTTGGCCATCTTAAATCTCGTATGGATTTATTCCTTTCTCTTGATGTTCGTATAAGTTGAATAATCTCCTTCTCCAAGTCTTGTATATCTCCTTATAAATCTGCTCTAAATAATCCTAAGTCTCCGTCTGATGATTTCTTAACACGGATACTGTTTTATTGGTTGTTTCCGTCTGTGTTAATTCATTGAGTAAGACTCTAGATTTATTGAGATTAACCTTATGGTCCTGTTTGTCTTCTTGTGTACCACTAGTAGAAAGATATTTTCGTATTACTAAGTGTTGAGCCAACTCTTTTCTGAAGTACCAAACGGCGAGAAACAGTCAAAGATGTGTCGCAATAGATGTTACTTTAACTTAAGTAAGCTCTGAAATGATTGAAAATAGTAAAGCAACTGTTGTACGTTAAGGAGACCCATCCAATTTTAATTGTTAGAAATTTGTATGAGAATGGAAGTCTACTGAAATATTTTGGGAGAATCTGGAGAAATCTGACTTAAGTTTAACATGACGTTATCTTGTCGCAATTACACTTGGGCGGATGTGGTACAGCAGTGTTTAAAACATAGTCAAATTTGTCAGGTGACAACGGCATTGTTGTGAAAATATGGTTGGTTCGAGTTGCGATAAGGGCACGCAGACTTTTTAATATTGTAATAAACGCAGGAGAGGACAAAGATTAATTGATGCACTTATGCAAGTGAATGTGATTCAATCGATGTAATCTGAATTGATTCGGCCCTACTATTAGTCCGTTATCTATCGTCCCAAAAGTATACAAGCTTTTTAGGAACAACAAACAGGCAGTCGCAAAGATTTATTCCAGTTACCATAAGCGAAATTTTTGTGTAATGTGATCGACCTTTTTTAAAGGATGGCTAAAGCGGAGTAGAACGTGACCTGATTCTTGCAATTACATTGGTCAAATTTGTATATCAACCAATGAAA